CATCTTTGTAGCGCCGTGTAGTTGCAGGCTCCGAGCAGATCCTCCTCAGGCTCCTCTTCGCCAAAATAAACAAGGCCAGTTCCCTCAGCCTGTCCTCTACACCTGTAACCATCATAGTAGCCCTGTACTGGACCCTCTCCAGTTTCTCAACATCCTTCTTGAACTGGAGGCCGAAAACATTATTCAAGGTGAGGGCTCACAAGCACTGAGTAGAGAAGGTATTGACTTTCCTGGATCTGCTGACCACATTCCTCTTAATGTAGCCCAGTGCACTGTTTACATTATTCGTGATAAGAGAACTTTATTAGTTTATAAACAACTCAGCAGCCACTGTAGCCTCCAGATCCTTTTCAGCAGGCCTGAAACATAGCAAGTTCCTTCCCTGTCTGCACTGGTGCATTGGGTTTTTTCTCCTCGGGTGCAGAATTTTGCACTTACTGAAGTTTCTAAAACAGAAACCTCAAAAAGGATTCTTTTGCCTGGGCTTCCAGTGTCTCATGGTGTTTCTGAATTGAAGTTCTACTAGTCAGCACAGCAGCCACAACTCTTGCATCATCTGAAAATCTACTGAGTGTACATTCTGTCTTCTCATAGGGGCTGTTGATGAAGATACTGAACAGTATCTTCATAGCAGTCCATTGGTTACTGTGCTCATTTCCAACCACCAACTGGACATCAAACCATTGAATCTAGTCTTTGAGCATGGGGTCTGACCAATTTTCATCCCACCTACATCCTTTCATTCAGTCCATACTTTCTCATATTAAAGTAAATATATATTGCATTCACTCCTCTCCCTTCATCTGCATGGCCAGTTCATTTCATCATAGCGGGCAACCAGATTGGTCAAGCATGATTTGCTCTTGGTAAATCCTTGTTGACTTTTCTTGATTATTGTCTTGTCCTTTACATGTTGGAAATTGGTCCCAAGAGGACATGCTCCACGATTTTTCCAAAGACTAAGATGAGGCCAACTATCATATAGTTTCTTAGATCCTCCTTCTCACTTTTCTTTAATACGGATGTAAAATTAACCTTTCTCCCGTCATCAAGGATGTCCTGTAATAGCAGTGATTTTTCATGGATGATAGCTAGTGGTGTTGCAATCACATCGTCAGCTGTTTCAGCACCCATGGGTGTATCCCATGTGACCCCATGTATTTGAACACATACTGCTTCTTCAGGTATTCACCAGCCTGTTGCCCCCCCAACTCTTAGCCATCCCTCTCCTTCCCAAACTGTACATGCAGAGGTCTGGGAGGAGACTTTGCCTAAAAAGCGAGGGGCAGAAATGGTATTGAGTGCTGCAGCTTTTGGTGTATCATCTGTCATTATCTCATCTCCCTTAATAAGCAATAGACCTACATTTTCTTTGAACCTCCTTTTGCTGCTCTCGTATTTGTAAAATTCCTTCTTGTTACCCTTTAATGTCCCCCATTAATTTTAGCTCCAGCTGGGTTTTGTCCTTCCTAGTTTTGTTCCTGTGCCCAAACAATGATTGTGTGCTTGTCCTTTGTTTCCTGTCATTGTTTCCATATATGTGCTCTCCATTTCCACCATTTCCATCTCCATATGTGATTTTCCCATTTTAGTTCATTAAGAAGCTCCTTACTCAGCCAAGTGGACCTTCTGCATACCTTCTCCATATGTGCTGCTTCCTTATCTATTTCTGGGTTAGGTCCCTGTTCTATGACAGACAAAGTCCTCCCCACTAGATTAGTAAGTCTGTTCACAAAGATCTTCTTCCCTGTCTTTGCCAGGTAGACCTATTCTCTAAGTTGTCTTTCCGCATCAAATTGAGTGCCACAAGCAAAATAGTTGAAGCCCAGCTAGTGCCACCAAATATGTAGCCATATGTGGCCTACTGGATACATGTGCTGCTATCCAGGCCTTTCCCTTTTGCCATAGGATTAAAGAGAAACACCACCAGGACTCCTGTCTCCTTCACCCTTGCTCAGGAGCCCTACAGTCGCTTTTGAACTGAAATGGTTTCACATCACCATGTCATTGGTGTGTGCATGAATAAGCAGAAGAAAAGTCAGAACGTTAGGTGACCCCACACAGTCTTTCGGCAACACCACAAATTGAGGCTCCATGCAAGCAAGAAACCTCCCTAGTGGATGAGTCAGCTTGGAAGAGAGTCACCAACTACTCACTGTCACTCATCATTTTCTCTTGGTAGTGCTCTGATACGGTGTCCAACCTGGATTCTTTCTCTGAGGGAGCTTGTTCTTCCCCTCTGCTGCCTGGGCCGTGCACCACTGGGCAGGCCTCCTGCTACCAGAAGTCACAAGCTTCCAGTTTCCACCATCATAGGAGCACATGTCTTCTTCCCACTGCGTCTTGCCTCGGTTGCACCTTCCCTGTCTGTTGCATAAGCTTTTACACCTTGAAAGATCGTGTCAATCACCTGTTTGTCACCCCTGATGCAATAAAACACACCTGCCTCTTCTTGCAGCTCCTCACCTGCTGCTGCAGCAACTACAACAGAGCAAACCTCCCTCCAGGGAGGTCACCCTCAGGGCTCCATCTGCACGGAGGTTGCCACAGCACTGCCGGTGACAGCAGGGGCAGGAGTTATGTCTTGTAGCAAGTCATCACCATTTGGGTGTTGTCTTCTTATGCAAACAGCACATCGGGGTCTCTCGTGTGTCAAATGTCAAGTTAACTGTCTTGCTTATTTGCACGTCCCGCTGGCAGCGCTCCTTGGTGCCCTTCCTGAGGGTGCCAGATGAGTCAGGAACTCCAAGTGCATTCACTCAGCCTTGTGCAAGGTTTCCCATTTGGCAGGAAACCTCTTGCACTGTCTGTGAGTTCCCAGCCACAGTACCCTCCTTTGTGAGTGCTGGGTCTGCTGAAGGTTTCTGCTCCCCGTGCTGGATCCTAACGAGCTGAAAGAACGGTGGATGTAGCTTACGCAGCACCAGTCTCACTTGCCAAATGAAGAGGTACTGTTGTGCAGTTGAAAAGGTTAGTTTCAGAATCTGCTCAAGTAGATAGAGCTGTCCAAAAGCATTTTAAGATCAATTTACTGCAGTCCTCATCCATGAATAAGAAAAAATAGTCTGGGTACTTATTATCACAAGTTAAATTTTCTTATTCACTTGTAGGAGATAAACGGAGTTTCAATTACTGGCTAATGATTTTAGAATTTGATTATGTTATTTTATAGTAAAATACTCAAATATTGTCGCCGTTCCCTATCTTACAGCTGCACTTGCAGTGCAATGACAATTTTAAATTTATGGTAGATTATTTCTTGCAGTCACTAGCTGTGTGTACTAGGAAAAGGTCTTCTGCAGGGACATTGCTTGAATAGAAATATCAATGCAGATATGCTTATATAGGCGGTGACAGAATGGCAGACTTTGAATTAGGTTAGTCTTTCAACAACTATAAATTGGCAATATAAAATCAATTCCTTTGAGGCTTAAGTGGTCAAAGTATAAGGTTGAGTAAAATAAGGTGAGAGTATATTAATATAAAGAAATAGCAAAGAAAAAATGTTTAATGTCTGTAGATTGTAAGTGTGAGGAAAAAGTGTGTAGGGTAAATGAGTGTGGAG